GCAGCATCAGGGTAGAGGCTGTGAGAGGGTGCTGTGGGAACCTCCGGGGCTGTCTGAGGATGGACACCTTTTGGTAGGGACTCATTTTGCATAGTTGTCACGTTTATCCTGTGGTCTCTACTCCCTTAAAGAACTGCAGTCTCAGAAGCCCACAGGAGCAGGTCTGTCTTGTCCTATAGGGTCGCTGTGAGTTGGCATCAACACCGGGGCCTTGTGATCATTCTGTTTTCTTTCCATCGTCCCACACAATATTGGATTGTTTATGCCCCCTTTTTTTTTTGTTTTTTTTTTTTTTGGGGGGGGGGCCGGTTTTACACTTTAATACTGACCTCAGTTGGCCCCCAGGGAATAAATACATCTTACAAAGACACATTTGGATAGATGGAAAAACTAAGAGCATTGTTTTACCAATGGCCCATAATTCAGAAAATAATCTACCATTTGTCTCGAGAACTTGATCGCAACGGCAGGATCTTAAATTTACCATTTGCCTTGGGAAAGGTGTCCCAAAAGCATCATTGAATTATTGCAGTCTGTCCAAAATACCATATGCATTTTGAAATGCTCTGGATAGGATATAGTGCCCTTTATCAGAATAAATAAGATAAAAATAAATAACTTTTTAAAATAATATGTATTTTTTAAGAGGACAAGATTATGATCTAATTTGGCCTTATCCAGTATTGGTTCTACTTTTAATTTTTTTTAAATTGGCTGATCAGCTGGCTTAGGGTACCAGGTAAGAGGAAACTGAAACAAGTACGGTTTCCATGGAAACTTCCTGTCCCAGTAGCCTTTAAAGCAGCGGTTCTCAATCTGTGGGTCACGGCCCCTTTAGGGGTGGAACGACGCTTTCACAAGCGTTGCCTGATTCACGACAGTAGCAAAATGACAGTGATGAAGTAGCAATGAAACTAGTTTATGGTTGGGGGGGTCACCACCACATGAGGAACTGTATGAAAGGGTCGCGGCGTTAGGAAGGTTGAGAACCACTGCTTTAAAGGCCGCCCTGTTTGTTGTGAACCCCATTTTTCATCAGTTCTCTGATGACAGCGATGCCGTGCAGGGTTTGTCCTTCTGAGATCGGCTGCCTTGACCGAGCATAGTGTCTTCCAAATTCGTTCACGCCATGAGGTGTCAGACAGTCTCGTTTTTTGTTTTGTAGAGATGGGCAATATGCCCCTGCGTTATGACTAGCTTTTACTTAGCCATTGCTCCAAGGTAGGCGTTGGGGGGGCTCCAACCTTGGCTCCAGGAAGCACACTCTCCCCGGAGCCTACAGACGTGCACTGCCCCTCAGCCGTGCCCGAACCTCACCTTCTCTCCCAAATGTTCTTTCATCCTGCGGCCCGGCTGCTGGAAGCCCTTGCCTGGCCGCGAAGTCAGCGGAGTGTCTCAATTAGGTTCCACCTCATAGAGCCCTTAGCACCACATGCTCCGTACCTCTGCCCCTCCCCGCCCCCTTACCGAAAACCCTGCTGTGGTCTTACTCCCAGAACCAGATGCCTGCGGAGCCCACTCCCTTGTGTGTGAGAGTAGAATCATGTGCCATTGGGTTTTCCACTGGTTGATGCTTCAGAAACAGATCACCCGGCCTCTCTCCCAAGGCCTCTCCAAGTGAACTCGGACTAGACTCCACGAACTGTGAGGCAGCTGTGGGCACCACCCAGGAACTCTGCTCCTGGGAAGGATGGGCAGACTAATTCAGACTAGAGTGTTAATGACACCATACCCCTTCTCCTGGGAGGACTCAGGTTTCAACTGATGAGTTTTACCTGCAATGAGAGTGTTGGCTTCTCCTGGTAGGATTCCAGGCTCTGTGAAGGCACTGGGCGAGAAAGCATTTTATTTTATATGTTTTTTTAAATGAATCATTTTATTAGGGGCTCATACAATGCTTCTCACAATCCATACATCAGTTGAATCAGACATGTTTGTACATATGCTGCCCTCATTCTCTTCTAGACATTTACTTTCTTTTTTGTTTGTTTGTTTGTGTCTTAACAGTTTTATTGGTACTTCATCCACATATCACACAATTCGATGTTCAATTATATTAAGAAGGGTTTGTTTTGGTTTTTTTGGCACATTTTTGTAATCATTTTATTAGGGGCTCATACAACTCTTATCACAATCCATACATACATCAATTGTGTAAAGCACATTTGTACATTCATTGCCCTGATCATTCTCAAAACATTTGCTCTCCATGTAAGCCCCTGGCATCAGCTCCTCATTTTTCCCCTCCCTCCCCGCTCCCTACCTCATGAACCCAGATAATTTATAAATTATGATTTTGTCGTATTTTGCCCTGTCCGTCTCCCTTCACCCACTTTTCTGTTGTTTGTCCGCCAAGGAGGAGGTTATATGTAGATCCTTGTAATCGGTTCCCCCTTTCCAACCGACCCTCCCGCCACCCTCCCAGTATCACCACTCTAAGCACTGGTCCTGAAGGGATCATCAGCCTTGGATTCCCTGTGTTTCCAGTTCCTATCTGTACATGTGTACATCCTCTGATCTAGCCAGATTTGTATGGTAGAATTGGGATCATGATAGTCGGGTGGGGAGGAAGCATTTAAGAACTAGAGGAAAGTTGTATGTTTCATGGTCACCACTACGACACCAGGGCTCCTAGTATATCTACGTACATAAAGCAAGTGCAGTGACATTTTGTTGGAAGGTTAAAGTAGTTCCCTTGTGAACTGAGGATTTGCCCGGAAGACAAATAAGTCTCAAGAAAACTCTAGGGACCTTTGCAGACGCTCCCTCATCAGACACCCTGCATTTGTGTCTTCTCCATCAGGAGCCTGGTGGTGCAGAAGTTAAAGCTCTCAGCTGCTGACCGAAAGGTTGGTGTTGGCATCTACCTGCCCCAGAGAAAGGTGAGGCAGTCTGTTCAGGAAAAACCTTCCATTTGGAGCCTTGGAAACCCCGTTTCTATAGGTAGCTTTACTCTGTCCTAGCTTAGTGGTTCTCCACCTTCTAATGCCATGACCCTTTCATACAGTTCCTCATGTGGTGGTGACCCCCAACCATAACATTATTTTCATTGCTACTTCATCACTGTCATTTTGCTGCTGTTATGAATTGGGCGACCCCTGTGAAAGGGTTGTTCGACACACTCCTCCCAAGGAGTCGTGACCCACAGGTTGAGAACTGCTGTCCTAGAGGGTCATTATGAGTTAGAGTCTGCTTAAAAGCAGTGGGTTGGGTTGGTTTGGGTCTTCCATGTGAATATCAAGTGCATACAGCACAGGAGTGGTCCCTGCCTTCCTCTCCCCTCCCCGTGCCACAATCCAAGTTTGGAAGAGAAGATAATTAGAATACACTGAGCCATGGGACCATATGATATTGCCTTTAAGGATACAGGCAGCCGTATCAGCCGTAGCAGAGGGGGTGGAGCTGGTGCTCCCGGCCGAGCTGGGGACGTGCAGGCTCGCTGGGCTTGGGTCAGTGGAGCAAAGACTCAGTGCCCACTCCCACTCCCTCCCACAAAGCACCCTCCCCCCTCTCAACCTGCCCTTCCTGCATCTGTGATGCCAAAATCTACGGAACTCTTGATTCCCATCAACGTGGGGAGAAGAAATCATCCCACATTGTTTCTGGGCTAATGAATTCATTTCATCCTAAGGGCTGTTTGTGTGCAGACTGATTGGAAAGGAAATAGTCATGAGGCAAAATCATCCCATTGGAACCTAAGTTAAAATTTCCTCCATCGGTAGAGGAGAAATGGCTGTGTGCACGATGACCAAGCGGAGCTGCTTGTCCTGATCCCAAGTGGAAGTTCTGATGAGAGCTTCTGTTCCCAGGATTTTAATCCTGTGGATACGGGACATCGTGCTAGGTGTCAACATCAGACGCGGGACTCGGTGCTGGCATGGTGGGGTGAGACCAGCCAGGCTCCCAGGTCCCCTCCCCAGAGAGTGTCTGTAACACTCAAAGGTGCTCCCTTAAAGAACCGATGTCTTTCTCACATATGTTACATAAAAAAAGTAGATTGTGCATTTTGAGAAGGACAGGTGGCCAGAGGGAAGTCCACACCCCAGTTAGATCATGTGCTCTTTACTACTTACGATGTACAATTACAAACCCACCAAACTTAGCTTTGTTCTAAGAAATGCCTCTGTGTACACAATTTGAGATGCAGGTCTTCAGATAGATTTTTTTTTAGCTGGGTTTTGTTTATTCAAAAAGAAACATCGTACTGCGTTCTCATGGAGCTCTGCTTACAAATAGACTCAATGTCCCCTTAGTAGAAAGTTCTACAAACTGCCATAAACTGTGTATCTTTTCCACCATCACCCCACCCCCCTGGGGATTTCACTTTAAAACATAAGATAACGATGTATCCATTTAGTTTGAAACAAACTCCCAATTCAGAAAGTGAACTTGAAGATGTCCTCGGGCGGCGCAGGGATGGCCCTCACTCCCTGGAGTTTCATGAGAAGTTTCAGGGGGGTCGGTAGCCAGGCGAGGGGGGGTTGCATTGGATGTATACGAAAGAATGGAAGTCGCAGGGTGCCGCTCAGGGAAGTGTGGGATTTCAAGTTCCCCACAGCGGTGTCTATTGTGCTGCTTCTCAGCTGAATGACGTCATGTTTCATCGGAGGCGCTCAGTGATGCAGGAGCCCGCGGCCTCACACTAGCAGGGGGAAAAGGCAGGAGAAAGTTGCAAATCAGGTTTTTGTAAAGCCTTTGTGTGCTGGGTTTTGAGAGATAAAAGCTGACTCATGCAATATGTCCAGGGAAGGCGCTGCACAGGCTAGCCCGGGCCGGCTTCTCCTTTGGCCACTGAGATCATAGCATCAGCTGGGGAGCTGATGGGGCTGAGCCCCGGTGGAGGACAGGTGGGTACCCCGAGAGCCAGTGCGGGTCAGGCTTGCTCTCTGAGTAGCCGGCTGGAGACTTGCTCTCTGAGCAGCCGGCTGGAGACTTTCCTGCTCGGCGAGAAACATTCGGTCTCTGGGAGCCTGAAGCCGGCTGGGGAGATTGCTGACAATGGAATTCTGCTGTGCAGGAGGAGAAGGAAGGAGAGAGAGGAGAGAAAAAGAGTGAGTTGTGTATGTGGTTTGAGAGGGTGTGTGTGTGTGTGTGTGTGTGTGTGGTTTGGGTTTTGAACTTCCCTTAATCTCAGGGTAGACTTCGTCGACACAGATGCTTGTGAGGCTGGGGGTTCAATCCCCAGCCTAGACTGCCGGCCCTCAGACACTCAGTATCTTAGCTCGTAGTGACCGTGTGCTGATCTTACGCCGAGCAACTGCCCTGGTGAGACGCCATGTGAGGCCCGGGGCAGCCAGAGCTAAGTCAATGCCGCTTCCATTGTGAGTGTCCTGGGTGAGGAGTCCTGTTTGTGTTTGGGAAGAGGGGCCAGGGGCAGCACTCACACTGCACTTGCCGCTGTGGTCCAGTGCCAGTGGGTTGGATTTTGTTTCACTGTTGGAATTCGGGACACTCACGTTTTTTGAAAGAGGTATGCGTCCGGCATTCCTTTGGTTAGCCCTTCACTGTCGATTGAACGTCGTCTGTTTCAAATCTCTGATGTACATGGGATGGTGCGTAAAATCTCCAGTTAATAAAAGCAGTGCTCTTACGGAGGAAAGGCGTGCGAGCTCAGAGCAGTATCAAAGGCCACGACGTCTGTGCTCTCTGCCTCGATGGCTCCAGTGTGTGCCGAATGCGGACCAACACGTGGGATTTTCCACCCGCAGCGGGATCTCGTTGTCCATCGGTTTCATCAGCTGCCCCTTTGACTGGGGGTGTAGCGTGGCCATCAGGTCTTGGCAAGGACAGGGCCTGTGATCGTTTCTCGTGGGGCCTCGTGGAGGATGTATGTCCTCGGGTCTCGGCTGCCACGGACTTGAACCCGGTTCCACCATCACCTCCGAAAGGTTCTGTGTACTCTCCACATGGGTCCCTGACTTCACGCTGTGCTACTCCTTAGGCTCCCTCCTCCTCATTCTTTAGGAAAGTGCTCTGTAGCCACCGCCTCCCTGCCCGCTGCACAGAGGTGAGGGGAGGCGCGGGGGCTGAGGTGGCTGAGAGGAAAGGTGGATCCCTCCTCCCATTGTTTAGCCATGGCCCCAAGACTCTGTATGGAAGAGTAGAGGAAGCACAGACCACTATTTAACCTACACTGAAAGAGGTGGGGGCTTCCTAGCCCCTGGTGGAGTCACTGACATGTTCTCTACCAAGAGCAGCGTGTAGGGGCAGAAAGATCTCGATGCTGCAGGTACTGCTCCTGCTGAGACCCCAGAGGAGCCAGGGATCTGCTGGCTCTTCCAGAGCTCCACTGGTCTACCATCAGGTAGAGGGAAGCCCAGGAAGTCTCTCAGTGCAGCTGCCTCACTTAGGCACAAGGAGCCCCAAACCCAAAGATTGAAATAGAAACCCTTGGGGGCGTGGGGGTGATACTGAGCCAGGGCCAAAAGGCCACTCCTTGGATCAAAGGTAATACCATTGTATCAGCATCTCGTTCCTGGTTGGTCCTGTGAGCTCATCCTCTAGCCAGGGTTGGGCCTCATAGCTACACTTTTACACACACCACCACCACCACCCCAAATTCGTTATATTTTCTCCCAACTTCTCCATGCGTTTGTGAATCTGGAATTCAGAAAGGGGCTGTCCAGGTGGCTCTGGCCAGAGCCTTACAGGTTGACAGTCAGATGTGGCAGTGCTGGGGCTGGCAGGACGCACTCCCCCCACAGGGCCCTCTCTCTGTGTCACGGGGCCTCTCCAGGTCAGATGGCCAGCAGCTGTCATGCCCTCCTCTCCAGCTCCCGCTGACCTCCTGTGCCACATCACAGCTGGGCGCCGTAGGGTTCTCAGAGGCCCATTCTTCAGAAGTAGAACACCAGGCCTTTCTTCCAAGGTGCCTCTGGGCAGACTCAAACCTTCCACCTTTTGGTGAGCAGTCCATTTGCACCACTCTCAGAATCCAAGCCCAGACTCGCTGCCCGTGAGCCGATGACGACTCACCGCGACCCTGTAGGATAGGACACAACTGCCCCTGTGGGTTGCTGAACCGTGACTCTTTCTGAGAGTAGAAAGGCCCATCCTTCTCCCAGGGAGTGGCTGGTGGTTTCAAACTGCTGACCTTGCCATTGGCAACCCAGCTCGTAGCCACTACGCCACCAGGGCACCTACCCTCAGAATAACCAGGCTTTTGGTGATCTATTTCATGTACAGTGAACCCTCGTTTATCGCGGTTAATCGGTTCTAGACCCTAAATGAAATTCCACGAAGTAGGATTCCTTATTTGTAAATCAAATATTTTCATAGTTAGAGCATAGAGGACATGAAAAAACACCCTTTAGTCACCATTACACTCGTATTACCCAATTTATTAAATGAAAAAGGGAAAATACAGTAAAACATTTTGGACATTACAATTATCATTTATTATTTATTATATTATTTATGGCATCTAGTTTACAGTATTACATATTTCACATACAGTATTATACATAGTTCTTACAAATACTGTAATCAATAGCCTATGAAATGACTTAAGGGATGTACTCTACAGGTGGGTCGCCGTCTTTTTCCTCTGAAGGAGCGGGTGTAGGCAGTGGGTGCTGTTACGCAAAAACCGTGATAGAGTGAATCCGCGGAAGTCGAAGCGCGAAGTGGCGAGGGTTCACTGTACATCAAACTGTGAGCCTATTCCATCTCATGGTAACCCATGCGCGCGCCACATGGCCGCAAGGGAGGCTGGGAGTGCCTTCAAATGCGTTCAAACTGGAACAATGCGTGCAGGAGGAAGGGCAGTGGATGGGGGTGGACCGCAGTCAGTCTCCTCCATACATGGGCACTCGAACTCAAGAGACCTGCGGGATGGGCTTTACTGCCGCCCAATGTTTCCATCCCCTCCCACCGGGTCACCACCACAGAAGCATACAGTGAAAGTAAGAAGAGCCATATTTTCATACAGAGTCTTCAGGGAATTCCCTGAGGTCCCTCTGGTGCAGAACCCTAAGTCACCACTTAGCTAAACCATCAGTTTCATGAAGTGTCTAACTTCATCCCTTGTACCTCGGCCTTGCCAATGACTGGGAGAGGGACCCATTCGTAAATTAGCTGAATCTCGGACGTCACTGCTTAAAGGCATCTGTGTTTTGTTCAGGCCACGTGTCTCCTTGGAACAAGAGTGGATTGCAGCCTCTCTGTTTCCTATGCTTGATCAGATGTGCCAGTGCTGGCTTTCCTGCCTCTTGAGTGAACGAATAAGGATGGTTTGGGGTAAAGAAATGTAACTTACAGAAGAGTTACAAAGATAAAAGCGTTCCCCTGTGCCCTTCTCCAGCTTCCCCTCAGGGTCCAAACAGTGCCATCGAGTCGATTCTGACTCATAGAGACCCTATAGGACAGGTAGCACCTATCCTGTGGGTTTCTAAGACTAACTCTGGATGGGAGTAGAAAGCCTCATCTCTCTCCCAAGTTGTAGCTCGTGGTTTCAAACTGCTGACTGTGTAATCATCAGCCCAACGTGTAACCACTTTACCACCAGAGGCTCCTCGCCTTATGGTGGCATCTTACAAAACCTCATAGTCCAGGTGCACGAAGCAAAGACATGTACCACAAGATGATTGGATTTTCTTTTTACCCTTTCATGACCAAACTGACCAAAATCCGTTTGAAAATCACACCCGCTAGACGGAGCACACAGAGACACTGAGAGACATGTGCGATGGTAGTCCTGGCCCTGCCATTGAAACAGGAGCCCAGGTGGCCTTTTAGACCCAGGAGATGGAGAGCCGTTTTTTGCCGTCTGGTGACTGTCCAGCCGGGCGGGAGTCTCTGAAGTCTGTAGGGTGGGAGAGTGCACCTGGAACTCTGGCGTCGCCTTTGAAATGTATGCATGTGTGTATCTTGTCATACCTGACTCTAAAAATCAGGAAGTCGGTCTTTACAGCTTTGTTATCTTTGTAGCTTGTTTATACTGATTGGCAGCAGAGGCAAAGCCTAGCTTGGTATCCATTGGACTTTGCTGGCTAATCGAGTAAGGGCTTTCTTTCCCCTATACCGAGTCTTTCTGCTGCCCCCTCCCTGAGTAATTTATAAGTCGGATAATTGAGAACGAAGGTGCCCTCCTGGCGACGTGGTTACGTGTTGGGCTGCTAACCAACTTCAAGGTCAGCAGTTGAAACCACCAGGCACTCTGGGGGAGAAAGACAACGGGCTCTCTACTCCCATCAGGAGGGACAGTCTCAGCAACCCACAGGGGCATGTCTGCCCTGTCCTGGGCTGCTAGGAGCTGGCATCGGTTCGATGGCAGTGAGTGTGGTTTGGGTTTGGTTTTGTTATGATTCAGAACTTTATCAGTGGGTTATTCCCTGGCTGGGAACACAGCCTTTTCTCTGGATTTCCCTGATCACCCTGCCAAGGAACTCAGAGTGAGGCGTCCGGTGGAGAGAATAGCAATGAGCCGGGTTTGGGCAGGCGGCTCACCCCTCACCCCGCTCTCATGGCCTTGGTGCTGTGCCCCATGCCCCAGGGTCTCCCCAGGAGTCCTGACAAGACAACCCAGCTGGCATCCGTCAAGGCCCCCTTCAACGGGCCGCACATGGTTACAGGGCACCAGGACTGTGCTTGCTGTGGAAAGTCCCGCCTCCCACCTAAGTCATGCCGAGAGATGAATGAAAATCACGAGGCGCTGCTTCTGATTCCGGCAGTGTCGGTGCAAAGGCAGGCAATTAAAATAATGAGCGTTTGAAGAGCATGTAAAAGCGCTAAGGAATTCGAGTTGTTTTTTTTTAAATCACGGGACATTTTCAGGAAAGGAGCATATCATGAAGTAAAAGGGGCAAAACCGTGTCCACATGAGGCTGTGGCCACCTGTTCTCCTGATGGAAGTTGGCACCAGAAGGGATATTGGATGACAACGGGTTTGGGGAACAACTTTTTTTCCTTTTCTTCTATTTGCAAAACATGTGCTTGATATAGTTGATAAAAGTTTAGTATCTGAAAAAAAAGGGTTCTGGTGGAGGAATGGTTAAGGGCTCAGCGACTACCCAAAAAGTCAACAGTTGGAGCCAACCAGCCATTCTATGGA